AACAACAACGACAATATGCCCCAGCACCAAGGCGAAGAGTGGCAGAAACCACAAATATACTAGCAAAATGCAAAGACTACCACAATAAGGCAGATGAGCTCTTCGACGATGCCTCCAGGGAGGTGAATGACGACAAAACATAATCATCGTCAGACAAGTAGTAGCTTGGCAAGGTTTTCACCCGAGCCTTGTGCCGATGGTAGCTGCACCGTGATGGGGGGTACCAGCCGCCGCCACACCGTACGGAGTCATTCCCGTACTCGCCCGCAATGGTGGGAGGCGCACACCGGCAAGCGTCCATGCCTAGAGGGAGGGAGGGCCGGCCACCGCCATACCACCACACAGCATGTTCACGGACTCGCCCGTGACAGTGGGAGGTGCGCACCAGCAAGCATCCACGCCTGGATAGAGAGGGGAGGGTGCCGACCGTCACCACAACGCACGGAGATATTCCCGGACTCGGCCACAATGGTGGGAGGCGCACACCGACAAGCGTCCACGCCTGGAGGGAGGGAGGTCCGGTCGCCGCCACACTGCGTGGAGCTGTTCACAAACTTGCTCACGACGGTGGGAGGCGCGCATCGGAAAGCGTCCATGCCTGGACGGAGAGGGGAGGGTGCTGGCCACTGCCACACCATGCGGAGCCATTCTTGGACTCGCTCGCATTGGTGGGAGGCACGCATCAGCAAGCGTCCATGCCTGGACAGGGGAAATGGGATGCCGAATGCCGCCACACCTCATGGAGCCATTCTTGGACTCGCTCGCAATGGTGGAAGACGCACACCAGCAAGCGCCCGCGCCTGGACAAAGGGATGGGGGGTGCTGGTCACCACCACACCGCGCGGAGCTGTTCCCGGACTCACCCACAATGGTGGGAGGTGCGCACTGCAGGCGTCCACGCTAGCCAGGCGGGAGAAGAGGAACGAAGAGGACGCATCCAGGGAGGAAGCGGCGTCCGCAGACGTTGCCGTCTCGGCTTTCGCCCTAGCCTCAAACATCCCGTCTGCTGCGTCGCAGTGCGCCACGCTGGGTGTAGTGGTGCCGGCCGCTGCCACACGGGGACGGCGGACCGTGGCCGGGGTAGAAGCGCCGACTGCCGCCACACGAGGATGGTAGGTCCGCCAGATGAGTGCCCCCACCAGATCCGGCCACCTGGGCCCAGGCACAGCAGCCCATGCCAGTGAAGTTGTAGTCTGCGCAGCTCCCGCACTGTCACGAGCCCCGTGCAGCACAGCCCGGACCGTCCTGGCATGGAGGCCAGGCATTACAGGAAGACCTGCCGGAGCCCAGGCTGTCTACCACCACAACTGGGCAGAGATCTGGCTGGCAGCACGCGGATCCGGCCGTCCCCGCTTAGTTCCAGCCATCCTCCAAGTAGATCTGGAGCCGGAGCAAGGAAAGGAGACAGGGCTGTCGAGAAGAAAGAAGAGGGCCGTAGGAGGGAGGAGAGGAGGGAGAAGGGGACGGGCTGCGTGCGGCGGCCACCGCTGCCCGCTGCCGCCACCTGCGCCGTCGTCGTCCGAGGCAGTGGCAGCAGCCGTCCGGGCTCGCGCCCTTGGAGGGAGGTGAGCGGAGGTCACTCCGCCTCGTGACCCCGAGGACAACCTTGGTCGCCTTCTTTCAACAAGGCAAGCACCTAGATCCACTTTTATATTATAACCAATTTGCTCACAAATAATATTCTGCTATACACACTTTTTCAGTGTGTTTTTTCTCCATTGAACTTAATTGATGTATAGCTTATGTTATCAACACGTTAGACCCAATCCTTTCATCAAAAAAACAATAACAACCATAAAACATATGGTAGGACCATATAATTTACATTGACTTTTCTGATAAAGTTGGACCTGCATCATTGTTGGTATTCTTATGGTTTTCCTTGAGACGCACGCATGCCACCCTTATCAACTTAATGAAATGAACTATGAAATAATATTGAACTTTGATCTCTACACCAAACTACACTTCCTTCCTCGACATCAAATTTGACGTGGTTGAAATTTGTGCATCATTTTTGCTCTTGATCAAAGCGAAATCAGCCCCTCCGAAGTATAGAACCTTCCGGTGGCTAACCAAATCTGCTATGTGCATTCTAATAGGAGAAGAATCCTACCGTTTCTGCTGTGCTTCTATAGATGTTCATCTAGAAGTCCCTATATTTATCGGCATTTACAACATGCAAATATACTGACACTCTCAAATCCCACAGAGGACCGGTTTCATATATGTGTAGGCTAAGTAGCTTCTGTGCACTTATCAAATACCTTAACTATTTGTACCTAATGTTAAAGAGAGGAGATTATTCCATCGGTCTTTTTTTTTTACTTCCCACAATGCCCTCCAGGTCCCGTATGTGACCCGAACTCACGACTCGTCCTCAGAAGTTAGAACAACGCGCGTCTTATGACAGTACGGAGTCCAATTCCCAGATACATCGAGCGACGATATGGAGTCCAACTCCAGGACGTATTGGAATAGAAGTCACAATTGTAGAGTATATTTCGAGATGCAAATCGTTCAACTGACCACACGAAACAGTACGTTCCGTTGTAACGCAGGGGCATATTTTCTAGTAGAATATATAGAAAAGTGTAAGGTGAGGTGAACCATATAGCCTGATTCTAGAGTTGCTAAGTCACTGTCATGTGAACCCCAGATGATCATTTTGTTCTAGCTTGGACGTGTAAAGGGTAGGCTGACTTGCAAACATAATCTACTATTCGAGAATCGACCGAACAATGCCTTGGGATAAAGTTGAAGGTGTTAGCATGCCTTTACAACATTGAGGACAGCACATATATAATTTCAGTTACCAACGGTGGCTTAGTTTTAATTGAGATCTTGGCTGTAATATGGCTCTACCAGCAACCATTTTTGTCTTAAGGTCAAACAGATTTTGTATCAACGCTAGTTATCTTTTAGCTTTCATTTGTATATATATGGTGATATATAGTTGCTGTTGATGAGTGTAGATTATCGGCTTAGTTGAAAAGGAAGCTAGTATGAGTGGCATCAAGTATTCAAGTGGTGTCTTTGTTTATAGCGATACCTTCGCGGTAAAGTTTTGGCTCAATAGAAACAAATTTTGTAGTGAGGTTAATTATTATTTTACTAGCTTTTTGAACAGTGACAAATGTGGTTGAATATAGTTAGTTAGATATCACTATATATGTGCGCGTCCGCGTGCAAAGCTACAGTGTTAGAGTCTATTTGGTTCGTGTCCACAGCTTACCACATCATAGATTAGTTATACCATATTTTTTGGCAGTATTTTGGTTCACGGTCCATGTATTGTCGTAACCATAGTGTGTCACACTTTCTTAGCACCCTATCATATACATCATAGACTCATTTTCATTGAAACTTTGCAACAAGGTGTGACTTCGATTTCGCTTATCACACTTCCTGAGTTTGCCGAGGTTAGAAAAACTCACAAAGTGTGACAAGCAAACTACGGCAAATGGTTTATTCTCTTTAAAACGTTAGGTACGGCAAACTACGAACCACTTATCACCGTCAAAGAGAATAAAAAGGAATCTAATAACTAGTTCTAGTTGATCCTTGATCCAATGGGCCATAAAACTTATCATGTTATTTAGTGTGGATATATACTGAATTACGTTGAAAATTTTATAATTATTTACCGAATTGGCAAATGGTTTTACCGAATTGTATATAAAAATTTTGTGCGGCATAATCTTTGCCAAAATCATAAATCTGCCACCATATATTGATACTCTAAAGTTCACAAGACACGCCCAGCGGTCCAAACATTAAGAGTCATAGAAGGGGACTGATAACTAATCTTGGTGATAGCCATTACTCACCCAAAACAATATATCATCATACAATAGCAAATTTATCTTTGGTGACACCAATTACTCACCTAAAACAATATATCTAGAGTTTCTATAAGAGTAAAATGCACCAGGGGTTCATAAACTTTTTATTAATTCTCATTTGGATCCTCAAAGTAAAAAGAGTAATATTCACCAATGGTTCCTACACTTGTCTAGAGGTGTCATTCAGGTCCCCAAAATTTCAAAATGCATTTTAGCTCGAAGTTGTAATGAGTCACATTCATGTCCCAATGGACGTTTGCCGGACCCTTTAATGCTATGTTTCATGGATCTGACAGATGAGACCCACGTATCAGCGAAAGGCTCCATCTTGGAAAAATCGTGCCTTTTTCATATGATTTTGGATGAAAGTGATTTTTATATCAAAATTATAGCTCTCTATGGGGTCTACAACTTTTTAGTTTTGAGTTTTGTCATTTGAGATAGTCAAGATGCTCAAAAAATAATATAATGTTTGAGTAGCATATTAATTCCATACTAGGGCTTATCGCAATAAAAAAATTATATCTTACGTGTATGCTGTCGGATAAAGATACTTCGTATTCGAAAATTGTATCCCTTAATCTATAGCTTTAAAGTTGAGTTTTCTCATTTAAAATTTCAGCAGCATATCAATCTCAAACACGAAAAACGAGTAAAAGAAAAAAATGAAAAAAAGAATGAAAAAAGGAAAACATGCAATAAAAAAAGAAATATAAAGGCTAAATACAACATAACGAGTTAGAGCAGTGTACGTCCCGACACGGTGTAAAGTTTGAATTTAAATATATGATGCAATCTTAAACATTACTTAGAGTCCGATCTCAAGACGAAATACGCAGACGATCATTGGATAAATGTCAAGGGTTCCCATGCTCATGTATATGAGTTAGAACCGAGCACGACACAATTTGTTGGATAAATTTTCTGCAAATCATCTTGATAAACTACCCAACAAGTTGTACCCCCATTGCAACCACGGACATATTTGCTAGTAAAAATAAAACAAAAAAGAAACATTTGTCACGGAATTACCAGGTCACTCCATCCATAGATCCTGCATTTCAGCGTAGAATAGTCTTTCAGATTTTCACACTGAATAGTTACATTTTATTTCAAGGCAACGCGAAATTAAAGCATGGTTTGCAGCCTCTGAACTCAGCTCTGGTTCTGCCCCGCGGCGATTGCATCGGCGAAGCACTTGTGGAACATGTCCATGCCATCCCGCGGCAGAGAGACGCCCACTTCCATCCCGCCGGCGCCGCGCCGGCTCTCCGCCACTGCCACCGCGCCGGTCTTCGCCACGGACGCGATGTCCACCTTCGCCGGACGGCCGAACCCCAGGTCCAGATCGTAGACGCGGAACCTCGGCGAGCCGGCCACGGACAGCATGCCAATAGAGCGGGCAAGCCCGATGACGCGGTCCCCCCAGGCGTCCATGCCTGATGTCCCGATGCCGCTCACCGCCTCATCGATTGATGTGGCAACCGCGGCGCACGCGCTGAACACGCCGCCCGCGCCGGCGGCCGCAACCTCGTCCCTGGGTGGCAGGCAGAGCGCAGGGCCGACGCAGTTGCCGAGGTACTTGTCGGGGAGGGGAGGCTTCACCCGCGAGCGGTGGTCCACGGGGAAGAGCAAGCAGGCTCTGGCTCGGTCGCCGCCGGTGCGCACAGTCGACGTCGCTGTCGCGCCTGTGTCGTCTTTGGCTCGCAGGTAGCACGACCAGACCAACCCCAAGGTGGCGACCAGCGAAGTGCACCTCGGCGGCCACGGCGTCCTTGACGCGCTGCACGTCGTCCTTGGACACCGTGAAGGTGGCGAGGAGCTGGTCGGCGGGCGCCTTGAAGAGCTCCATCTCATCATCGGCGGTGGTCGCCAGCACGGGTCGGTAGAAGACGTCGTAAAGGCCTCTGGGGTGGGGGAGGAGGCTCCGGTCTATGACAGGAGGCGGCGGCGCGTCGGCGCGTGTGCACGCGGCCGCCGCCCAGGTGTGGAGGAAGTGCGTGGATGCAGAGCCGTCGCAAGCGGCATGGTGCACGGTGACGCCGACGGCGAGGCCGCGGCGCGCTGGCAGGAGCGTGGCCGGCAGGGCGAGCACGGCACCGCCCGCCGGCAGCGGCGGCACGAGCGGGGCGATCCTGGCGACCTCCCGCGGTTCGTCGGCGGCGAGCCAGTCGATGTCGTCTTCCGCGCCGCCGCCGCCGGCGTCGTACTCGGCGACGGTGAAGGCGACGCCGTCTCCAGGGCGGTAGTAGAGCTCGTAGCGGTTGGACGTGCCCGGGGTGAGCCGAAGGCGGCCCGCGAGGGGGTAGAAGACGCGGACGGCCTGGGACAGGGAGGTCTTGAGGTTGGAGAGGATGGCGGGGACGTCGGCGTCCGGGGCGAGGCGGTAGAGGAAGAGGCGCTCGACGGGCGGCAAGCTCAGCCAGAAGACGTCGAAGAAGGTGAGCGGGAGGGAGCACTCCGGCGGGGCAGAACCTGATGGTAAAGGAGACGGACGCACGACGGCGCTGTCAAGGATGCAGATGCGAGGAGGTGACGAAGCGGAGGCTCCGGCACGCTGCTGCTGCTCCTGCGCCACGGCCATGGCCATTATTGCCGTCGCTGGTATGAACGTGTGCTTGCTCCGGTGGTCTCAGCTTGGCAGCTTCTTCCACTCAGCAGCTGAGTGTGCTAGTCTGTATAGTAGTATATCAGATCCGCTCAGCTGCTGAGTGTGCTTCTTCGCCCTTTTACCTCAACTCAGACTGAATGGAAAACAGTAAAGTATAAAAAAAACACTCGTATGTAGTGTGATTTGGAGTTCGAGGTTTCTGCCGGGTTGTTTTGTTGCCGATGCCCACCATTACCTATCTAGAGACTAGGAGTAGGAGTACGTCTGTTACAATAACTATCCATCTCTATCTATATTTATATCTATATATATATCTATCTATTTCTATCTATCTATATCTATTATATCTATATCTATATCTATATTTATTTATATATATACCTAATATTAAACGGTACCGGCCCTAGGCCCACGTCCGGACGCACCTCCTGTGTTCCCGTCATGCACGCATCCCACACGTTCCATCCCGTTCTCAACCAGTGCCTGAGTTCGAAACCGTGGACCGCACAAATCCCTCGCCCCGCACGGTAGAAACCACGCACCCGCGCCCCATCCAGCGTCTGCACAGTGGAACACGCCCCACGCCCGAACGGTGGAACTAGGACCCGCGCCACCTACAGATGCGCGCTGCGGAGGCGTCTGTAGGCCTCAGACTTCGGCACGTGAACCATGGCGACGCACTGGCAGCAGCAAGTGGACAGCGACATGCAACACCCGATCTACTTTTGAAATATTTAGATGAAACATTTGCAACATACATCTAAAAACAGATGAAACACTTGAAACATGCGCGTAAAACATGCGTATGTAGCCATTGCAACATGTGCGACACTGCGATCTACTTTTGAAACATCCAGATGCAACATAAATCGTCTGAAACAGATGAAACACTTGAAACATGCTGAAACATGCGGTGTAGCCTTACAACATGTGCAACACAAAGATCTACTTTTGAAACGTCCAGATGAAACATTCGAAACAAACATATGAAGCAAATGAAACACCTAAAACATAGGCCTAAAACACTTGAAACACGACATTGCCGACGGCCATGGCCTACCTGGTGGGGAACTGCTGTATTGGTGGCGACCTCCTCCAGGTGGCGTGGGGGTGGTGGTGGCGCGGTGCAAGCCATGCCACGACGGGCGAGGTGGATGGGGGGCATGGCAAGGGACGCCCCGCGCAAGCAGGGTGCAGGATTGGTACAGGCGCGATGCGCGATGGTGTGTGATAGGGTTTGGCCACGGTGGGCGCGATGGAGTGGAGCGAGCAGACGGCACGGCGGATGTCGAGGTCGAGGCGGGCGACATGGCGAAGGCGGCCGTGGTGGGCGTAAGGCGCAGTGGAGGCGGCCTCGGCCGCCACCATGGTTGGGTGAGTGGGGGGAAATGGCAGTCGAGATTTTTTTAGGAACACGTGCAACAGAGAGTTGAGTTGGGGGAGAACGCAGGCCGGTTGCCTAGGCCGCCAGTCCGCATGAGCAAGGACGCGTCTGGACGGGTTGCCTAGAACGGACGCCGCGGAGGAGTATTATTATCGAATATTAAAAGACAAAATTTCACTCTCATTTCTTTTGTCCTGCACTCTCTAACTAACTATGTGAATATGGTCTCTGTTGAACTATCTTGGCCGGCCACATCTCTTCTGTTTTATATGAAACATGCAGGACTTCTTAAGGTAATCTAGATAACTAGGAGTCCTAATCCAAATATATTTTAATCAAAATAGGATTTTTTATCAAATAGAAAGAGATAAGAGTAGAAATCTATTCTAAAATTAAACCACGACGAGTTATGTAGTTTCAGTTTTTCCCTGTGGGCCAGAAAGAGCTGAATCCGTGTCGTTTGGGATCTTGTGCATCGGGAAGAAAGAGCTAAGTCCTCGTCGGTCATGCATTTTTTCTGATTTCCTGTCCAGTTCGAATGTTTTTTTCATGTCTTTTATATCGATTTCTTTCTTTCTTTTTCTCCTGTTCCGATTACATTCAATTACATTTTTGTTTTGTATTCTTATTTATCACATTCAATTAAACGTGTTTCCATTCTGCCGTGTGGTAAACACGGAGAGCAACTACACAAAAAAACGTGTTTCCATTCTATTATTTTTATTTTTCACGTTCAACTAAATGTAAATGTGAAAATACAAACCAGTATTATATAAATAATAACAATAAAAACAAAGAATAAAAACAGCACAATATATAGACTTTGAACTCCTGACCATTGACTAAGAAATAAATATTTTTACCACCAAATTGTTAATGTAATTTTTATTAAAATCAAATCTCGTATTATTTTATCCAACTGATGATTAAACCACGAAACAAGATCTTTAGTTTGTTATCCAATGTGAAATAAATGTGCATCTATATACTAGTGCAATCCCCGACAATAGAACGATGAGGAAAATCAAGAGAGTCCTTCTGTCATAATCATCGACATACTAGCCCTTGATATATGAATAACTAACTCCACACTAATTTGAGTTACAGATAACTAACTCCACGATGACACTTAATATTTAGCTATATCAACATGGATGTTATAAAAAATTACACTTAATATATATCTACGAGCAAATATCTTTGTGTTTAGCAACGCGACACTACGGGATACAGTAGCTTTGCCGAGTGCCAGGCCCAAAAACACTCGGCAACTGCTTTGCCGAGTGTAATACTCAGCATACAACACACGGCATTAATTTGTCGGCAAACAGTAGTTTGCAGAGTGTTTTTTATCGCGCACTCGGCAAATAGTTTGTCGAGTGTCAATAAACACTCGGCAAAAATAAACTCTCGGCAAAAAAATGTTAACGGGATGGCACGGTGACGCCGATTTTGCCAAGTGCACGACGGAAAAACACTCAGTAAAGTTTCGCAAGTTTGCCGAGTGTCAAGCCGAGAACACTTTGCCGAGTGTCAATTCGAAAACACTCGGTAACGTTTCTGAACTTTGCCAGAGTGTCAAGATCAAAACACTCGGTAACGCTTATAAAGTTTGCCAAGTGTCAAGACTAAAGCACTCGGCAAAGTTTACACACTTTGCCGAGAGTCACGCCCAATACACTCGGCAAACAAGCGCGCAACGGATAGATTTTATGGTCACTTTGCTGAGGGTCTATTTGAATACACTCGGCAAATACAAAACACTCGGCGAAAAAGGTTCCCAGAATAACAGAAATTGGTCTCTTCGCCGAGTGTTTTGGCTTGACACTCGGTAACTCCTCGCTTTGCCAAGTGTTACACTCGGCAAATCGACCAATACCCCCTTTTTTACTAATCTGTCCCGTATAACGGACCCCTCTCAATTCACAATAAACCATCATAATTCACAATAAAGCATCATCACAGGCATATGTCACAGACATAATTGTATTTCACAGGCATAATAAACCATCATCACAATTCATAATAAACCATCATCATAAGTCACAACTAAGTCACAATAAGCCACAAATGCAAATGCAATCACTACGGAGGCCCTTGGAACCACTGCGACAAATCCGGGTCTTGAGACTGATTACTTGATGCCGCTGATTGATTCTGCACAAAAGAGAAGAGATTGCATGTGTGAGAGTTCAACTCCATTAATGTCGTGTCTCTGTTACCTTTAATTAGTTTTGAACGAAATCTCAAGTTTAATTATCACTGATAGAATTAGTAGTGCAAGTGTACAAGACTATACAGTAACCGATAGGAATAGTAATGCAAGAGTACTAGGCACTACAGTACTGATAGAATTAGCATCACAAGAGTACTGGGTGCTACAGTACCGATAGAATTGGTGCTGCAGGAGTACTCGATGGTACAGTTGTTGAATAGAAGGGACGCCTATCTGTGTTAGCTCTCATGTCACAATCGAAATCCTCTCCACTCTGATAGTCAGCTGTGTTAGCTCTCATGTCACAATCGAAATCCTCTCCACTCTCTAGAATGTCAAATATTCAAAGGGAGCTGAACTGATTGAGCCAATAAGTCTAGTCCTTGTTTACTACTACGTTACGTATTTCTTGCTGTACATGGCGTGCTAGTGAACAGTGAAGTCAACTTTCCATTTTGCGGTTGAGCTTGCTTGATGATAAACATATACGGAGTAGATTAGTAAATCTAACAGAAATCATGCTCTGCTGATTTTTTTTATTTTGTGTAAATAAGCTATTTTCTTAATATAAATCTGAAGAAATAGGGGCCTCTGCCACTAATTTTGTCAATGCAATATATCACACTGCCGTGCCATCCTCATTTTCCATTGAATTGTCAAGCCTCGTCTTAATGACTTATCATCCTACACTCCATGTCTCAACAAATCCTCTCCAGGATGTCAAAATATTCAAATGGAGCTGAACTGATTGAACCAATCAGTCAGGCCCTATTTAGTGAGTTTTTATTTAGTGCAAAAGCAAGTTAACTGAGAGTCGGGAGCTATCAAAAATCTGTAATGTTAATTAGTGAGTTTTTATTTAGTGCAAAAGCAAGGTAACCATCCATCTAATATCTTGGCATAAAAAATAATAATAAATAGATCTAACATAAGGTGTCAAGTGACTCACAGGAGTAGTTGTTGGTGGTTGAGATGGAGGGAATAGCACCGGTGGCGGTGGCAAAGCTTGACCCATACTCGATGCAAAATTCTGCATGTATTGGAATATTTGGTCCATCCTCAACCGATTTTCTTCCTCTATCCTCTGCATCGTCCGCCGTTGTTCTTCCTCCATGTTCTGTCGCTCGGCTGCCACCCTCTGCTGAATCATCTCCTCCATCCTCGTCTCCGTCTCCTCCCGTTGCTTCGTTTCTGCTTCCCCCCGGGCCTATAACATTTCATCACAATATTACAATGCAAAGCTAAAGTACGTAACAATCAACGAACGATGAATAAAACAGAAATAACCTGGAGAGCCTCCATCTAGAACTGTGTAGCGGTTGGCCGTGGGCGTATCGTCGGGCTCACGCTCGTGCTCCTTGCTCGGGTCTAGGA